CAACATATATATATATGTTGAAAATGAAAAATAAAATAATAAAAAAAGGTTCCTCAGCTAGAGGAAAGTGGCCTCCAGTCTCAAAAGGATCCTCAGGAGATTCCTCAGCTAGAGGAAAGTGGCCTACAGCCTCAGAAGAGGTATCCTATCTAGAGGAACATGGTATACAGCCTCACAAGGTTCCTCAAGATGTTCCTCAGCTGGAGGAAAGTGGCCTAAAGCCTCAGAACGTTCCTCAAGGGGTTCCTTAGCTAGAAGAAAGTGGCCTACAGCCTCAGTTCGTTCCTCAAGAGGTTCCTCGGCTAGAGAAATGTGGCCTGTAGCCTCAGATCATTCCTCACGTGGTTCCTCAGCTATAGGAACATGACCTACAGCATCAGAAAATGTTATTTAGCTAGAAGAACATGGCCTACAGCCTCAGAACGTTCCTCAAGATGTTCCTCAGCTAGAGGAACATGGCCTACAGCCTCAGAACGTTCCTCAAGGGGTTCCTTAGCTAGAAGAAAGTGGCCTACAGCTTCAAAAGGATCCTCAGGAGATTCCTCAGCTGGAGGAAAGTGGCCTACAGCCTCAGAATGTTCCTCAAGAGGTTCCTCAGCTAGAGGAACATGGCCTACAGCCTCAGAACATTCCTCAAGAGGTTCCTCAGTTAGAGGAAAGTGGCCTACAGCCTCAGATCGTTCCTCAAGAGGTTCGTCAGCTAGAGGAATGTGGCCTGTAGCCTCAGATCATTCCTCACGTGGTTCCTCAGCTATAGGAACATGACCTACAGCGTCAGAAAATGTTATTTAGCTAGAGGAACGTGGCCTACAGCCTCAGAACGTTCCTCAAGAGGTTCCTTAGCTAGAAGAACATGGCCTACAGCCTCAGAACGTTACTGAAGAGGTTCCTCAGCTAGAGGAATGTGGCCTACAGCCTCGGAAGTTTCCTCAAGAGGTTCCTCAGTTAGCGGAACGTGGCCTACAGCCTCAGAAGGTTCCTCAAAGGTTTCTCAGCTAGGGGAAAGTGGCCTACGGCCTCAGAAAATGTTCTTTAGCAAAAGGAGGGGCCAACGTCATGATGATACAACGTGCGGCCTCGACACTCCGAGACCGCCGGTGATACTTTTGCCGCTGGATTTTGCATTTGGAGCTAAACCGTCCCACTGAGATGGTGATCAGGAAGATGAAGCCTTGCTGCTTTCAGGGACACTGCAAAGTCCCTGATTGACTCAAGGGAAGCTCTTCAAGCCGGTGGTAAACAGGTAGTCCCAGGCTGATGTAGTTGGGACGGCTCCGGAAGGAAGGAAGTGAAAAGAGAAAGTGAGTCCATCTGGTGAGGTATTTTTTCTATTTTGAGAAATACTGCCCAAAGAAACTTTTTTTAAGCCAAATTAAATCCTTAAGCAAAAGAATTAAGCGACGAAACTAACCTATATTGGATTGCTCTGGAAAGCTTTTTTTTTTCTTTGTAACTATACTTTGTGGATTGAAGTGCTCGCAACGTTTTTTGTTTCTCCTCTTAAAGTGAACGGATTAATTTTTTTTCTTCTTTTTTTGTTACTTTATTTTTTTTTACTTCTGCATTAAAACCTTCCTTTTTATTTTAACAATTCTTCCTATTGTTATTAAATTTTATTAAAGAACTTTGTTTCCTATAAGCTAGAGATAAATATTAGAAAGTGAAAGGTAGCAACACTNCAGGGGTTGGGGGAATTGCAGACTACAGGAACCAGGAGCACTATTCAGGTGACCCTGAGGACACAGATAAACCTCCAAATGCTTCAAGGACCCTCTAAAAGGATGCAAATGACCAGCTGTCTGCAAGGAGTATAAATCCTTCCATTCCCCACTATCCTGTCAGAGCTGAAGAAGCTTAATTCGTAATTTAATGAGTTTATATGCCACCCAATCCTGAAGGACTCCAGGAGGCTTACAAATATGAGATAAAATAAAATAACAAATAGGGGAGAGAGACAAAAACAGTTTAAAAAGCACAACATAAATTTGGCTTAACTTCTTAAGCTTCTTGGATAAGAAGCGAAACGCCTTCAAAAGAGAAAACAAGAAAGTCCATTTGCCTTCTGAAAAAAGCACCTTTGGGACAACCATGACCTGGATGACTCAGAATCTCTACAGACTTATAGAACAGAAAGCGAACCAAAAATACTTGGCACATAGAAGATAAAGAGAGGCAGCTTTAATAAAGGCAGTAATAAACAGTTCTATAATATCCATTCTTCCACTTCCATAAATAGAGATGATGTTTCTGTACTGACCCTTAGATACATGGGAGAGTGCTATTATGCTCTGTGTCTTTATGAGTTACGTAGAAGATTAAACTCAGTGCTTTTCTTCTTCCTAGTTACACATTCCAGCAGGTGCAGGAGCACACTGACCAGATCTGGAAATTTCAGCGTCATGACCTGATTGAAGAGTATAACAGCAGGCCACCAGCTCCGCCACCTTTTATCCTCCTAAACCACCTGCAGATATTTGTCAAGTGCGTGTTTCTTCAGAAGCCAACCACGCGGCACAAGCAGCTCAGTAAGGCCCTGATATTTTGAGCCAGGCTGTAACATTGTTCAGCTTCTGCCTGTCAACACTTTATGACAACTTGTAATTCATTAACAATGGAAACAAAGGAAAAAGGAGAATGGAAAGAGGTGATTTTTAGAATATGGAGCATTAAAAAAAACCCACCAGAGCTTTTTGGATCAATTAGAGGTCTCGAAGCATACCAACATTCTGACTTAAGTCATTGGTACTTCTGTTTATAAAATTGTATGGGCTTTTTTTGTCACTGTACTTTTCGTTGTTGTAGTTGTTCTCAGCAGAAATGGAGGTTATCAGCCATTCATACAACAGAATCAAAGTTCTCCAATTTACTAAGTATGAACATGAACATTAACATTTAATATTCAAGAAAATTTTCACTTTTTATTTTCATAATGAACTTTTAGATTTTTTATAACTTTTATTAAAAGCAGTGTTTTTATAATTTAATTGTTTAGTCAAAAATCTCAGATTTTGGTTTCATCTATCACTGAACTACCAATCCTGCCACTTACAAATTTGTTTGGGAAATACAAGTTAAACAAGTATGGCGACAATATGGACTTCCAGCTTTTTCCCTATCTTATTCTGTTCTCTTTTTCTCCAAATTCAATTTTTATGACAGTTTCTTATTCATTGCAAAGGTGAAGACTTAAATAAACAAAACAAACAAACAAACAAACAAATAAAGAACAAAAATGGAAATACCAACTGACCATAACCTGAGGTGATAAATGTAAATCCTGGGTTAATGTGAGATGTTAAAAAAAGGACACAATGGTAGTGTCCCATCACACATTTAGTGAACTGTCAGCTGACTATAAAACAGTGAACAAAGCAGATATAGAGTTTTGTTTTCCAAGGATCAAGAAATTAATATAAATGAACAGTGTGCGTAAACATTAAAGAGGAGCTAATTCTAGAAAGGCAATGACAAAATCATTCTAGACAACAGTTATAGCAAAAATAATTAAAGCAGTATTTCTTAGAGTTGAACAGGAAGGAAGGAAGGAAGGAAGGAAGGAAGGAAGGAAGGAAGGAAGGAAGGAAGGAAGGCATCTTTAGTGAAACTTATTAATAATACTATGAACAAACTAGCATTTAGAATTGTGCAGCATTTTGGGATCAAAGAAAAAAAGGTGTTTCAGAGCATGTAGCACCTCCTTTCAATTCTTTTTTTCCATGATTAGGTGGCTGCTGGTATAAAATTTCAGAAAAAATATCAGTATATTTAAGGAATTTGCACTACATTTCCGACTTCCAGTGTTATCTTTGGTACCTCCCATATTCTGAAACACCCTTTTGACTTTGAATCTGAAATGTTTCACTATCATATCAACCTCAGTGAAAGTTTGAGAGTATACTTGAAATCCTGCAACTGTGTTTGGTGAATTAATAGAGAAATACAAGGATATGTATGTATGTATGTATGTATGTATGTATGTATGTATGTATGTATGTATGTATGTATTCACATAGAGCAATTGCACATATAAAGTCCAACAGTGCCTTTATGATGCTTAGCAGGCTGAAATCCAAATATTTGGGATATGTTATGTGAGCAGATTATGGGGTAGAAAAAACTATTCTTCATCAGACTGAGGAAAATAATAACACATAAAATAGATGATTCCTGGAAAAGATTCCTGGAATATTGGTGGACGAGCTACAAATTATTACTAAAGACAAGTTCCAAAAGCAATCATTTTTTGTGCAGTCACTAGAAGGCAAACAAAACGCAAACTAACTTTTTAATGCTCAGTAGGTAATGCCTATCTATTTTATTATGGAAAGCAGAAGCAGTTGAAAGGGAGAATAGGGAGGCTTGGAAATGGTGATACTGATCAGTGAATTCTGATAGATGAGAAGAAATAAAGTAAGATAATGAAGAGAAAGGAGCAAATCAATAAAGGTTGATTTTGAAAGGTAGAAAAAAAACTTTAACAAAAATTGCTATTCCACCAGCTATTCTTTGTTTCTTAAGTCCATTGTTACCAATGATTGAATTGGGTCATTACTGAGCAGTAGCCTCCACAGGATCTAACATATTTTAATCTAATGATATCCAATTTCATCCAAGCGGCAAAACAAGTGTCACACTGTCATGATGTGAGTCCTATCCCATTTGTACATGATTGTCCATCTGTGCTGTAACTGTCAATTTTCTAAGACGAGAGCTGTATGTATTATATTTGATTTGGCCTGCAGAAAAGAAATTTGAGAAGAATGAGGAGGCAGCTTTATTGTCCTGGGAGATGTACTTGAAGGATAATTATTTGCAACTCCAGCAGTCTCAACAAAAGCACACCCCTGAGCAGAAGATCCAGCACATCACAGACAGGTGAAGACTGTCATTTCAATTTAAATAGTAATAACATCAGGTCAGCTCATGATCAAGATTGTGAAATATAATTCAGAAGAATGTGAAAGGTTTGAATAACCCTCCTAATGCATACCTTATTTTAGGTCGCCTGATTACTCCGAACCAGTGGTGGGATTCAGCCAGTTCGCACCTATCCGGGAGAACCAGTTGTTAATTTTCTAAGCAGTTTGGAGAACCATTTGTTGGAAGAAATCTCCTTTTGTTTTTTCCCACTTTACAGGGCTAATCCTGTAAGGAAGGCAGGAAGGAAACATTCTGGTATTGTTTCTAGCCTCATCTTTATTGCCCTGCTTACAGAAACTGTCTCTCTGGTTAACCCTTATTCCATTGTAACAGCTAAGGCGAAGCGCCCATCGATGTGAGTGATGTTGAGTTGGCCACGCCCACATGGTCACATGATCACTGAGCCATGCCTACCCAGCTAATCATTAGGGCAGAGAACCAGTTGTTAAATTATTTGAATCCCACCACTGCTCCAAACCCATTTTTCCCTAGTGTTCCTATTAGGATTCAATATACAAATTAGTAGGAAAAGATGCGCATATGTTCAGTAGTGGAAAAGCAGCCTAACTATTTGAATATAAGTTACTTTATTATGTCACATAATGTTTGAGGGTATAATCACTCTTCTTCCTTGAAATACTAATCTTTTTTTTTCCCAGAGTGGATAAACTAACAGAAATGCTGGACCTTGATCAGGGAAAAATGATGAAGCTATTGGAACAAAGGATGTTGCACCTGGAAGAACAGGTAAAACTGGCTTCTGAAGCTTCTTCCCAGCTCTTTTAGCTTAGCCTAGCTAGAGACAGTGGTGGGTTGCTTGCCCAAACTGGTAGTAAAAATATTTGCAACCCATCACTGGCTGGAGAATATTGAAAACTTATGCAAAGCATGGGCCCATCCCATCTGGACATAAGTCAGCTCTCTCAGCGAACTGAAAAGCATATAAGGCTGCATCATGTCAGCCATAATATAGTATTTAAAAGATAACACTGTGTGCTTTCGGAAGTCAAGGCATCTCTGAGAATCCCCATATTCTAGTGAAGCTTTTTTTAGTCATTAAATTCCCGGTGTCAGGAAATATGGTAGGTTGTTGATTAAGCTATATAATAAGCTATATTATACAAGCAGGCACATAGTTCAATATGGATAACCAATTTTTAACAGTCTGCTCTAAAAAGATTATCACATGAACCAACACTATAAACACTTTAGAGTTCTTTCTTGGTTACCAGATGTACTTCCAACCTTATTTCTCAAAGGTCACTTTTTAATGAATAGAGTAATTAACACATGCAATGAATTGCTTCTTCCCTAGACATTCCAGTTTGCAAAAGCATTACAATGGATTGTTCAATCATTATCTAACAGTGGGTTTGGTACAGAGGAAGATATTCCTGTTTTAGGTATGTTTCACTGCAAGCACATACTTCTGAGAACCATTTTTCATTAGATTTGTATTTTGGTATGCACATATGTATCACTTTTCATTTCGTAAATAGGACCTTAATCTTTCTTTTCCACTTTATATTTTTTAAAAACCCAATAATGCACACATATGCTTTATAATGGAACTGTGGTGTCTTTTTATTTTACTTGCTGGAATTTGAATATAAAGTGTATCACAAGAAGTAAACAAAGAATTCTCACTATTCCAAGTTATATTTTGTTCTGCTCATTTGGCCTCATTTGAAGATGAATGTTGATTTTCTTCACTGATTCACATTATGTAATAATGGCTATATACCTCAACTATAGTGGCTTCAAGGGCAGAATTTTTCTCTAAGATAGCAGATCCCTCATTTGCTATATTACTTCCCGCAATAAATATTCACTGTGCCATGTTGATCCTTACTGCACTGCTGAGTCATCTTTGCCTGAGAAATTGTCTGATATAATTAAGGCACTGGATTGCAATGAGGGAAATTTCAGGTTCAAGTCTTCACTCAACTGTGAAGCTCATTGGGTGACTTTAGGGGGGGGGAGGATGGTTTTGTCACTTTCACAAATACAGCTTCACATGCCTGCACATGTGTGCACTTGCCCACCACTACCATGGCCCAGTTCCGAATGGGCTGTACCTGACCCTGGACCATGGACTGGAAGTGGGGATCCCTAGTGTAAATCATTAATGCTTCTCAAGTGCAAATAGAATCTATCCCAAAATTATGGAAATGCAGAAAAATGTTGGATTGATTGATGATGCATAAAAGTACTGTGGATTTTTTTTAGTCCCTAGCAGGGCTGCTGAAACAAAGGAGCAGCAGGCAAAGGAAGTCTCAGAATATGTATTCACCCTGTCTCATGTGAGTTCTAGGAACCTCTTGTATCCCAAGTCTACTGCCATTCGTTTTCCTGTGCCAGATGAGAAGGTGCCATGGGAGGTAGGAATCTTAAGAGCTGGTTCTGTTATTTTGATAAATGCCAAATGGATCAAGCATATCAGGAGTGTTTATTTAAATTATCCACTTACCAAACAAATCCAAATTCTGTGCTACGGATCTCCTATACTATAACAAGAATTCGACACAAATTCACCAGTCTACAATTCTGAGAATTCTGGAAGACTATAAACTAAATACCTATAGAATGGAATAAATTTAGTGGGATTTAGTAGGATCTGATCACCCTATTTTAAAGGCTTTAGCTCTGAACTCAGTTTATAGATAAGGTGACCAGATGTCCTGCTTTTGGCAGGACAGTCCTGATTTCTAACAATTTGTCCCGTGTCCCGCGGTGTTTTAAAAAACTCCGAGAGTTTTGGAGAGAATGCACGATGCAGTCCTTTCCCCCGGCACCCCACTGATTAAAATGCTTTCTTTCGCCTGCATCAGAGCTCGGGTGGGTGAAAGAAAGCACTTCACCCCACTGATTAAAGAGCTTTCTTTCGCCCGCCCAAGCTCTGATGCGAGTGAAAGAAAGCAAAGAGCTTTCTTTCGCCCGCATCAGAGCTCAGGTGGGCGAAAGAAAGCGCTTCACCCCACTGATTAAAGTGCTTTCTTTCACCCACATCAGAGCTCGGGCGGGTGAAAGAAAGCGCTTCACCCCACTGATTAAAGCGCTTTCTCTCGCCCGCCCGAGCTCTGATGTGATCCCATCTAATTCAAAAGATCTTAATCCTTTAATTCGCCATTTTAATGGCGGATGGGATCCCTAATTTAGGACAGCTGCCACGAAGAACAGGTGAACTTCAATTTAAACCCACCGGGTTTCCCTCAAGCGGGAATTCTCGTCTTTGCCTGTCCTAATTCAGACACCTTCCTTTTCTTTTTGGATCACATTCTCTTCAGCCAATCAAGAGGCATGCTGGGAATCAAACCCAGCTCGTGGCTGAGGAAAAAAGCACCGGTCATCCTCGCCAATTCCTCGTGGCCGCTGATCCCAGAATCACTAGATCAAAGCCCCGCATCCGCAGCCCTGGGATCCTCTGCTTTAAGATCTCCCTCGCAAGCTTCAGCAGCCCCGATGACAGCTAGGCACACTTCTTCTTCTTCACACGCCCCCCCTCCCCTCCATTCTTTTCGTCAGTTCCCACGCCCCGGCAGGTCTGCACAAGTTCCTTGCCTAGTTAAGCGCACCTTGGATCCCAGCCTCGGGGCACGTTTCCATGGTTGGCGAAGCTCCTGCTTTCCCCGCAAAAGGCAGCCTCGTCGCCGCCTCTCTGTATTTCCTTTGCCCACTGTCGGTTAAGAACAAAGCCCATGGTGGGGAAACTGCTTGTTTGTCTGTCTGGGATTCTTTGGTGTGTGTGTGTGTGTGTGTGTGTGTG